AGATAGGGGCCAGCGCCATCCCGGATCTAGCGTCGTCTACATAGTGTTGTTTCTGAACCAATTGTGCCTTCGCCAGGTCTACGGTTTTAAACTTCCCAGAGCTTTGATGGCCCCTCATCTATTTACTCATCTATTCAAATGCGTGCAGGAGATCTGAGGTCGGATACAAAGTAGTTTAACGCAAATCGTAGCTAGGCGTATTTTACAAAGTCGGTATCATTTGTGTCTTTGAAACAATCTCGAATTACTTCGATAATGGACTATTTTAATGCTTCCAAGTAGGATGGAAGATGACGCACCTTTCTAAGCATTTTTTAAGATGAAACTGGTAGATTTTTTAGGAAGTCTTTCAGCCATTGATTCGTAATGTCACTATAAAAAAAAAGTACACAGATTCCTAGTGTCTTCGTACTAGTAGTGACTTCGTCCTAGTGACTTTGCCAATTTTGGAGTTCGTGCTATAGAACATCTGATCGATTCAACATGTTCAATGATCTATGCATATACTGCTAAAATTATGTGATAGCTGAAAGAATGTGATACTATGGTTTTAGCCCGGGAAGCCCGGTTTTAGCGGGTTACTCTCTGGAATTAAGTTTCACTAACTTCCTTAATATTATTCTTACATATTAATAGGTATTTTCTTTTGATGATTTTTCTTTTTCTTCGAAATTTTGACTCTGATTTCATGACGGTGAACTGTTATCTTTATTTCTCTCGTTTCTATTTTTTCGAATTTGTCTCTTTCATTATTTTAGGTTAAGGCAGCATGACGTGCAATAACTATATACAATTTTTGTGAACTCGAACAATTTCGATTGCATGTAAGTTATAAAATGACTAGTAACTGTTGTCAATAGGGAATACTTTTTTTAGCTAGATGTGTGATACATTGGCAAAAAGCACAGACATAACAACCCTGTTCACGGATAATTCATATTCATATCGGAAGCGTATAACTATTGGCGCATAGCGTGCAGCACGCACGTACGATGTCTGTCCAATGTCATCGAACGTCTCAACCAACATTTTTTTACGAGGTTTTTCACCAATTTAATCTAAAGGATTCGCTATACTGACTTAGTGTGACTTACTTTAATATTCCGTTGTCCTGTTTTTATTGACGCAGTCAGTTACTTTGGTTTAGATACTTCAATGTCATATAGTAAATATTCCGAGTTTTAGTTTCGGTACCGCTGCTGAGAAGGAGCAGAGCGAACCGTCTAAAGCGGCTGGCTCTCCTCAATGCCCATTTTAAACCTAGACACCACGTGTCGCCAAAACTAATTATGTTTCTGCTATTCCGGCACGTAACAGTGACTAACCATCGTTTCCTAATTGTCCCATATCATCCCATAACCAATGATCCCATTAGAAGCAAGTATGGACTGTTCCGATATTGACCCATTACCACCTTGTGGTTGCTCGTCAGCGTCGGGATTAAACAAACCTGAACTACCGAAATTCCATGTGAATATTCCATCTCTTTTTTATGCCTGCCAATTTAACTGGCGTTTGAGTTAACCAAGTATTTTAGGAAACAAACTTGAATTGTAGAAAGTTAAAAACCGGTGTGCAGGAGCTTCAGCGACTTAGTATTAGTTGTAATAAGATTCATATATCATAAAATATATATTCAACTATTATTTTAAAGAACTCTTATGAAACGCTGCTACTTGGCGCTGTACGAAACTGGATGGAACTGAATTTAAAATTCGGAGGACTTAACTGAAATCTGATGAATTTAATGACACAATTTTAAAAACTTTACGGTCGAGAGAGACACTGTACTGTGTAGTTACCCTAAGTAAAAACTAAAGTATTAATAGTAGTACTTGACTCCTTTAGAATAATGACGTCATTGCGTTTCACGACCTGCAGGCCATATCACACTGAGGCTAAGCTAACATATTTGAGCTGCAATAAAACAGCGCGCAATGTAACTTGAAATGTAAGGTAGAGCACTGAGACGATGAGCCTAAAGAGTGCTGCTCTGGTCTGTTATACAGCAACAAAAAGTACGATAGGCCCAAAACTACATGAAAGCTCATGCAGTTTTGGGCCTGTCGTAACCAGCATCTAAGAGGCATTCAACATCTAAATGTGACACGTTGCAATCGGGTCATATTTGATGATTATAGGAAAATGGACCTGTAACTTGGTCAGGGCCAAAAGGCATTGACCCATCGATGCTGCTACATACGTCTGTTCTATTGTGCATTACAGAATTCAGTACAACACGTAATAGCTGATATATTCACGTTTATTTACAAATAAAAGTTGTGTTACGCATTACTGATATTGACATGAAGAGTAAATCTCTATTGTAATATTTAGCGAATAAATATTAACGAAAGACCATTGTGACGTCTAGAATAACTCATGACAAATAAAGCATAAAAGCAAGAGCTTTTGCAATAGAAACAATCAGAAATTGCCGCTGCAGAAAACACTCGTTAAGTTAGATTTACATAGGTAAACAGAGCTGTGGAAACAAATCAGCGGGCCGCACATAATATTAAAAATAGAAGCTATTCTGGGTAATTTTCTTAAAATTAATTATTACGCACTTATATGTACTATAAATCCGGTTTAAATTTTTCTACGGGCCTAACTAAAGTTCATAACATCAAGTTTGTTTTTCGATTTTAAAAAAGGAGGGCTATTTTTAAGGGTAAATTAATTCAATATGGGAGAAAATCCTAGATTTGTTATCTATAACCAGAGAAAAGTGGTTTGACTCTTTTTTCAATCTGACGCTTACGTTTAGTACTTACATATTTTTTATCGGTACCTGACAAAGGTGTAAATAAATTATGATAATGTATATATATATATATATATATATATATTCGCACGTAATCGCGCGACACTTGTAATGTTTTACTTCTGTTTGAGCCTATCGAAAAAAAGAAGTGGAAACGGCTTATGGCTGCATTACATAGAAAGCTACGTCTCTGTGAAGAGGACAGAATCACACATGCCACGCAATTTGCTTTAGATTAAATAGAGCAGATCCGCAACATTTTCCAAAGTACTAGCGCCTTAAACGGGGGCTCAGAATTTTTATATAAAATTCTGAGCCCCCGTTTAAAAATATATATAGAGTTTGCAAGTATCTCAATGAAACAAAACCTAAAGACGCATTTAGTTGCGTCCGTTCACTAGTGTAGCCGTCTGCGAATATAATAGGAGGTCAATTTCCATCTCGGGTCACAATTTGATGGAACAAACGGTTAGTATTATTAAAGAGAAGATCTTGCATGCTCAGATCTCGAATCTATATACTTCCATCGGTAACTGCAGCTGCTCGCCTGCTAAAAATAGGACAGCCTACCACCGAGTGAACGGCTACGGATATCGAGAGATACAAGCGCACCTCGAACCCAAAAAATCTTGCAAAACGTAGCGCCATTATAAAATACCTCAATTTTTAAATGTGAAATTATTGACCGACCTAATATAATCGAAATATGCTATATACATTAAATGAGACAGAAACAATCGGATATACAATAGTAAACAAAACGCTGTTTAACAAAGTATTAGTCTTTCAATGTTCATTCCCTTTGAGGATTACATCAAAATCCAATTCGCGTAACATTAGAGTTGTAGATTGCTCACTTACAGGTACGTTAATCACGACTACGTAAACTGTGCTACTACGCCTACTGAAAACAAGCATTGGGATCTTCTTGGCCTTTATGACAATTTAACTGCTGCGGCATCAATACTCGAGGAACCCTTTGAGTATTTATCTGAACCATTAAGACATTGACGATATAGTTCAGTGTAGTGTAGTCTGCATTGGCTGTTCCTGCTCGTTATGTATAAAGCAGAGAAAGATAAGCAATCTGATGCAGTAGCTCTGTCGTATTTCGCATTTGTAGTAACTTCATTATCATCATTCAAATTATCGGAATCCTTAATATTCAACAGTTGTCGGATAAATTTGCCGTTATGCAGAATTTTACAATATAACGTTTGTATTTATTTGCCGTGTTACTTGGGCTTTAAGAACATCGCATGTTCGATTTGAACGAACGACGAAAAAAAGTACTAATGTAAACTGATGACGAGTTCTCTCGACCTATTATTGGGCTACGTAAACTCTATAACACACTCATCAGAACCCGCGCTCAATTCTTAGAGGGAAAATATTATCAATTTCCTAAATCATTAGACCACCACTACTATTAACAATCTTTTCTCGAAGATTTTAGTGAAAGCAGCAATTATACGAAACGACTTTATTTAATTGAAGTTCACAGTGATCTTCGCATTAAGCGTAACATCCCCCTTCATACAGCCTATATTTTACATGTAGATATATTGTATAGGAAACATTTTGATACTTGCTTTTTTTCTACATATATCTTAAACCTAAAGATCTTCACTAAAAATTCAAACATCTTAAATCGTATTTGCGTTGCAAAAAATAAGAGAAATAATTTTTTAATGGATCACATTTGTTTTTGATGTTATTTGACCTTCTAGTTGTGTAGATTTCGAAAAATTGAAGGACGTTTACTTTCAGCCCAGACTAATCGGAGAATCGATATTACAAACAAACGCCAACATAACAGTGACGGCTTATGGCTGGTATTTTAGATGGCCGAAGATGACACAAAAACGATCTTCACATAAGTAGAATGTTTAAAACGTTAGCCGTTTCATGTTCAATAGCTAACTATTTATAGTAACATAGCGCAAAAAATTACCTAATCATTCTTTCATATAAACATGTTTCAAAGACAAAACATTTAAAATTTCGCGCGATTCACCTGTTTCACTTTCCACTTCCGGAAAGAGGTCGACTACTCTTTCCCCTCTGAACTGTTTGGGCTTAAGGTGAAAAGTTTCGGCAACTGTTTACTGTGATTGAGATTGGGAAGAAACTTTTTTAAAGATGTAGTGAAGTAGGACGATATATAAATGTTTTATTTAGAAGGAACGTTCTTGTGTGAATAATTAATTACCTCTGTAACAGGTTAGTTTAGATGGGGTGCAGTTGAGGCGTTACTGGGGCAACAATATGGCAACAAACACTTCATTTACGATTAAACTTTAAGATTAAAAGCTGACTTGAATAAAGAGTAAACTGTAGAGAGAAAGGAAACTTGTTTTCGAGGTGGAACATATGGACTATGTTAAAACATAGGGCTCATCAGATCAGTTTTGTTGTACGAACTTAGCAGATAATGTCAATTGATTTGCTGCGTTATTGCATTTATTCATTAATACAGTTTAATATTGTATTTGTTATTATTATCAACTAGTACGCCCGGTTGCCGCGTTGTTTGCTCTTCATCACGTATGCTTAGAAATATTGTCTACATATTATTAACTAAGACACGTTCCGTCAGCAGTAGCAGAAGGCCATTTTAACGTCCGCTTTTCGCGTACCTCCGTATGGCATTATTGTTGTTGTTGTTGTCTTACTCATTATGTGTGTGTATGTGCGTCTTATTAGCTTGCACTGGATAGACTGATGAAAGTGGCTGCATGTTTCTAAAAATAGAATTATTATAACAACGGTATTTTCACGGGCGGATAATTGTTGTGATTCAACCTTCCAGCGTCGTCGGCGCTGTTTCACGGTCATGTCGGTTTGTATAGTCTAGAAATCACTTAATTCACTTCTCGCACGCAAAATGCTGCTCTCGTCGCTTCATTCAGATGTTCCGGAGCCAACGTAGCTACGCCCCTTGTTCTCCTTATGCGTCCTCTCCGCATCTTCAGGCCTCCGTGTAGAGGCGGTATTTCGAGTTCAATCCGACAACTCGATTAAGTCAGCGTTAAAGGTTAAAAGCGTGTTTACTTGACTGAGTGGTCGACACGATGTATCGCTGTCAAAATAGCCGTGGTCGTTATTTGTTTTCGGATATCCTGAATCTTTACTGTGCATGTTTAGACAGTCATATGGCGCATGCTTAGTATTTTATTGCATAACTGACTAAATGTTTAATCATTAGTGGGAATTTTTTTATTACACGATCGGTTACATCTTTCTTTGACGCGGTTTTCGTTATTACCGTTTACAGAATGCGTATTGGTTAAGCGCATTCGGACAATTTTAATATACATGCAAGTCGAGTGTAAGCGTATTGTAATAAAATATCATTTCCGGACTTATTCTAGCTGTAATATTCTTTCCTTTCAGTGGTAATAAACGGCAATTTAATATTTTATGTCATACTTTTACATATTTGTAAAGGCCTCCCACAAATTGTTGCATCCCACGCAATCCTCCCCTTTTCCCCGATTCCCTTTATTAGAACTTTTATTCCTAGGACTGCACCCATTTTTCTCATCTTCAAATACATCCCCAACATCACCCTTTCCTCCTTAACGTATATTTAGAACGAAGTGTCCTGTCTGGGATGTCAGAATTTAAGGAACTAATTTCCGTTTATATATATATATATATATATATATATATATATATACACCAGAACATGGTTGAATGCAGTGCGCAAACACTGAACTTGATAATTCAGCATATGTATATATATATATATATGTGTTGAGAGTTGCTATGTTGAGTGATCAAGTTCAGTGTTTGCGCACTGCATTCAACCATGTTCTGGTTGTGATGGTAAACCTGAAGTTACGGTTCGTTGAAAACAATTTTAAACAACAGCAATACTGTATACCGGTTGGATCGAATTTGAAATACTACCGTACTTAATTAATATATATGTATATTATGCCCGCTTCTTATGGCGTGAAAGTTTATCTTTAGACGTTTGCTAGCTGTAAGTAATATTTTAGGAATTGATTCTATAAATTTTCATGGCACGTATTAATATTACTACTAATATTCATATAGGGTTGTAAAATTGATGTCGGTAATTTTCTACGCAGCAGTATTTATATTTGTACCAGTTAAAAGGGATCATCTGTGTTCTGTATTTGCCTAATCGTCGCTAAAGTTGCTGCCGGTTGTAATGAATCGTTTTTCAGAAGCTGGCGTTTGATGGAGTCGTGTATAACTGGGATGAGTTTTCGGTAGGCTAATTTGTGAGCTGCAGTTGTTTACCTCGATGATAACCCTGTCCACCAATTCAGAGATGGGTTCAAAGAATATTCAGACAACTTTAATCTCCAATTCAGCTCCGCCGTGCGGTTTCGCGCTTGGGGAGATTTTTGGAAGAAGGTGATTTCATAGAAAGAATGTTAGATAAACTTCGGACAAAATAAGATTGTTTTCTTTATTTTACTAAAACGTTCGGCTATGTTTTGATTCAGATCAAAGTGGGCAAACTTCGTTGATAGTAGATATAAAGCTGTATGATATATTTAACAACAGGAAAACGATGACGACTGCACATAAGTAACAGTAAATTGTTTACGTTCATGTGCATGTCGATTTCCTTCCAATAAAAATATTCGAATTGAATAGATGAAAAATAGAATCACATTAATATAGATGAAGCTGTTGAGGTACAAGCTGATGCCAAGCATCTTCGCAATGAATTCAATCTTCCGCGATGCACATAATCAGCATTTTTGTTTACTTCCAGAAATAAAACGTGTTTTTTTCTCATTTCTATGTGACTCTTCAATGTAATTATTGCAGTAAATCAAAGGAGGCTTTCGAGTCGCAGTGTTCAAGTGAGAAAATCGTACAGTTTTTTAAATGCAGCCGAAGATTGTGCGACTTCACCTGTGACGACAAAGAAAGATTCTACTTTCATCTTCTCACACACAACGAAGGTATCAATATGGTCGTATTCGATTCAATCGATCGACCGAGTGTTTCTGATCGCTGAAGTTTACCGAACCGTTACGAATGATGGAAAAATGGCAACACTCAATAAGGATCAGGATTATGATTTACAAAAATGTTCTGTTATCAATTTGACTTTGTTGTAGATGAAGAGCAAGATGTGTGTGTTTATTGTGAACGAATGTTTGTCATTGAAAACCTCGCCCGTCATATGGAAGCTCAGCATGGGAATCGTCGCTTTCAATGTAAAATGTAAGTATTGTGTGAGGATCAACTCCACCTGAAGGCACCGAATAACCTTTCTGCTGTTTCTAGACGCTGGAGGCCATAGCCACGGCTAACTCCCTGTAATTCAGACCAGTCCGTTTTCATATAAGGGAATTAGTGTATAAAATTAACGATAACTGTTTAAGACAATCGTATACTGCACAATAATACTTAAATATTTTTATATGAGTTATTCAGATATTTTTTTGTTAATCACTAGTATTTAAGGCCGGATTAACCGGAGCCACACTCGTCATATATTACAAAATGTATGCCTATACCAAGTCATTTTTATTATTATGTAAAGGAACAATTATCATATCAAATCACAATCAAATACCTAATAGTCTACAAAGTTAGTAGCTTAGCTTTTTTAGTGTTTTGCACATTTTCTACATATTTTACACATTTTTAGCATATTTTTAATTCCTTTGATTTTACCTGGTTTAACATGTGTTTTAGCAGGAGATTATCTAGACGCGAATTAAAATTTCTGGGAATATTCATCCATTTACATTGTTATAATGCAATGAGATAGGACTAACGGTTATGACGTCTTTGTCAATATTACTATCCTTGAGATAAAATAAGAGGTGCATTTTAGCTGACAAGGTTGAGTAATTGAAATTGTGTTCATTCATGGTATTAAAGATGTCTCGAAATACGATAGAGCTCAATGTAAATATATAGAAATGGAAATCGCATCTATAATTGAATAAAACTTCTTTATCATTTGTGCCTATAGTGACCATCTAGAACACACTCGTTTTGTGGATGCTTTTTTTCAGGTGTTTTTACCGCGGATGCACAAGAGCGCATCTTATTGTCCATTGTGTTAAGCAGCATAACTTACAAGTACGTGTATATAAAAGTCTAAATAAAAACCTCTGGCTACAAGTAAATGGTGATATATTTCTATGCACGTATATTCTTACGTCTAAATGGCCCAAAAATGGCAAATTGCGTAGTACAACTACCCGGAAGCCCGAAGAAAAACAAATCTAATAGTTCTCCTCCTAGTTACTAACTTCTTCAATGGTACTGCTTTGCTGCACTGTTTATTCCATTTACTCGATAAATGCTTAGTTTATTTTCTTTTGTTGTATTTAGTGGGCCGAATGCGTATGTTAATGTGTATTATTAGACCTCCTTGTTTATCGTTAGACGACAGAAAATAGAACGTATAAGAGGCTGTATATTTCGTTGGCATAAATGCTGATAGATTAGGTTTACCAAGAAAGATATTGCAAAATCTCTACACCTGTAAAGAATAGTATTTTAAATTACTACGATTTGGTTCGTGTTTGTTTCATAGTTCGTGACTGGTATAGCATGCCCGCGAATGCCCGGGGCCCTTATGCCAGACGTTAAAGCTCGTGCAAGGACTCTATTATATAGGTTTGTTGAAAAAGCCTATCATTAGTAAGATTATTTTGGATCGAGGGCATCTCGGTCAGCTTAAAAATAACATCTAGCATGCAAGAATTTGGGGGTTTTCGATTTGAGTTTGCTGCGTACGTATCGTTTGAATAAATTCATACTATGTTATACTGCTTTCGATCAATAACGAGGGCGATTACAATTTTTCTACTCTTAATTATTTAGAGTCTTTTAGTAAAGCTTTCGATCCACTATATTACAGTATTAAAAGCATTGAGTCACTCCTTCATTTACTGTTAGCATATTTCATCTTATAACGCCGACCCCAATATTAGCTAGTAGTCGGTAAGCGTACCCTGTCCACTCTTTTTACATACCCATGACCGGGAATGCGAGATTTTAACAAGAGAATCTGATATGCGTAATTGAACGAGCATTTAATAGAGGTCTGAAAATATGTTGGGAAAAATCTGGTCTCTTTTTGAGCTTAGCGTAATATAACTGTGTCTACAGTAAGGCTTATAAATTTAAACTACCGTTTTTAAAAGATGCTTCACTCCTGAATGCGACCTTAGCACCAATGTATGAAGTTTATGTCTAATCAGCCGTAGTTGACTTTAAAAGTAAATATTTTTTGTTTTAGTACCACGAATGGGCCTGTAGAAAGGGGAAATAGCTTCAGTAGATTTCAAAGGACTCTCATGAATTTCCTTTACTCTCTTCAGCAAATGCGAATTTAATTATTATAGAAAAAGCTATTATCGTAAGTTGACCGCAACTCTTCTGCATGACCCACAGCGAGCAAAATCTGTTACTATGCGGAATGCTCTTTTTTAAATCTTATCTGTTGTTACCTTTTTATCTTCCCAGATGCTCATTGTGCACGTTCCGTTCATTTGGGCGTGACGATTTCGAGCGTCATCTCTCTACGGCGCATCCGGAGACGACGGCAGTGGATCACTCTGCTGAGAATGGCTTTCGGCAGGCAGCGGATAGGCGATCGCCTGGGTCCGCTCGTCTTTACTGTGTCTATTGCCATTCAGTGGGCGAACAAAAGGTCAGTTGGATAAAAGAAACGGCAAAGCCAACAAGATCTGAACTTTACTTACAAATAAAATACATTGTACTAATGAGCATCAGTACAAGGCTCAACGTAGCCTAAACCTGTTGACAGAAATTGTTTTACTCCTTAAAAAATTCACCGTTTTTTAGATGTCTATTTTAATAAAATAGTTTTGCGAAAAACACAGCTGGATATAGAAACGATATCTAATCGCAGAGAACGCAATTATTTGTGAAGTTATGTTTTAAGATGATCAGAAAAGTATGGTTTTCGAACTAGTCGCACGAAGCTATATTTGGTATACAAATGACGGTGCTGTTCATAAGCAGTTGTGATCAATTCTATTTGGATTTAAGCTGCTGGCAAAAATCATAAAGCTTTGAAATCTGAGTGCGCAAAGGAAAATTTCATGAAATAAAAGAAAGCTTCCTTCTGCCGCTGTTTCCATTAGTGAAGACATGGCTAGTGAAACAATAGGAAAACTTGACTCAAGGTAAAACCTCTAAGCACCAATGCTTGCAGGTCTGGCTATTTAAGAATACTCAATGCTTTAAATTTTTTTATTTAAATAGATTTTAAGAAGCAATATATGAAGTAGACATCTATAGTGTTTTTCATAGCGAGTACAACATATAAATTTACCGTGTTCCTTTCAGTCGCCACCTGACGCCCGCTTTTACTCTGCCAACGAACTGATTATACACCTGGACGAGGAGCATCGGCTAGGAAATCGTCTAACATGTCTTTACTGTGGGGAAGCTCTTCAAACTGAAAATGCTCTTAGTCACATGACGGAATTACACAGCGATTGGCCGATCAATATACTTGATAGGTAAATACCCATATTATTCATATATAAATCCAGTTGTCTAACGTTTAGTTCTAGTTGTACTAAACCTAGTTGGGATATTTGCTTGTTTTGACTTTGGCCACTGCTTGAGGATGAGTTCATTGTTTGGACAGATGCAAGAATATGAATATTATGAAGTTGTAAGGAGCAACACTTACAGAAATCGTTCCACAACAAGTCTTCCTGCATTTTGCTTCTCTTATTAATATAACATCTAAGCCTTCAGCAGACTTCCTAGGGGTATTAATGTGACATACACACAAAATAGATAGAAAAAAATCTCACTTATACTTGTAACGAGCCACCGTGTGAGGGTTAACAACTGGCCATTTGTATTTATGTGCCCTTTCAGAAATACAAAGTCCGGTAGCCGTATCTGGAGCGTGGGAAACGCCCAGTGTCAGATAGCTACGGCCTCCCATGAAATAAACACATCCCCCAAGAAATATTCAGCTGCCCCTCGAAGCGTTCAGGAAAAGAGACAACGAAAGTTGAGTAGCGGTATTACCGCAACGACGGCGCCCCCTCTAATACAAGCAGGAGTCGGAGGTCCGGTGACTGCCATGTCTTCCGTTGGAGGTGAACTCCTCTCGCGGCCTTCAACAAGCTCATCGGCTACTTTTGAGCGCATAGAAAAGCTCTCCCCAAAGCCTCGAAGCATTTTGAAGAAGAAAGCATTGTCGTTATCTGCAAACGCGTTTTCTGCCGCTCCAGATTTAATCCTGGAACTCCCACAGGTGCTCCGATGCGCCTCTTGCACAGATCCGGGAGCTACCATTGACTACCTAAGCCAGGAAGCGTTAGCGCTGCATATGCGTCACAAACATAATGTCTATTACATTTGTCAACGTTGTTTTCATGGCGAGGAAAAGTTCCGCCTTATTCAAGCGCACGTCGCCCAGTGTGACGGTGCGACCGAACTCGATATAGTAACGTTGAAAAATGGTGTCCTTAAGACGTCATCGAAGGTACGGTCAACGCAAAAGGAACGGCAGCAACACGCCGCTGCTGCCGTCAGCGTTTCACATAATCAGAACAACCGAGTGACCAGCCAATCTGAGAACCGCTGTGCGCAAGCACAATCTGTGGTAGCAGCAGGGCGAGACGCGGCAAAGGGTGCAGGATCATCTCGAGATATGTACGTTCTATTGAACGATATTCCCAAGGGCCCTTTTACGTCGCCGGAGGATGTAGGAAACAACAGTATTAATGGCAGCAGCGGTAGTGTGACTTCCAAGACAATACATACACATCGAGTATCTTCGGCACATACTCAAAGCGATACAGAAACATGTGACGACGCGGACACAACTGCCAGTGCAATTAGAACACACGATAGTACTGTGAGCTTAAATCGAAAACGCGATCGAGGAGCTACACCCTGGGCGAGCCGCGGGCGATCTTCCGAATCGGTGGCCAATAATAACTTGGTTGTGATCTATCAAGATGCGCGGATTTCGCTAAGCAGGTTCGAACAGTTAGCTGGACGTAGCTATACGCTTGTCAAAAGGTTGTGTCCGAAAGAACTGGGGAGATGGGGAATAATTTAATAGGGGTTGGATAGGGATTTTGGCGAATAAGAACATGACCTATTTACTTATTTACCCAATACAATTAATTGTGTGTACGTATCGAATGTGTAAGTGCGTTTTTCAACATCTGGCTCGTGAAAGGCGACTGGGCACATATTGGGCCCAAGTTTACGACGCTAATTCCAGTGTAACAGTTTGTAAGATGTCTCCTGCGTTTAACAGTCGGCATAACCGAAAAAATTTTTACAAATAATTTGCTATCTTTGGTCGTATGTTACCGTTTCGATCTCCACCATTCATCTATTAACTTCCATAAATAAGATAAATAGTTGTGTCAAGGGAGGAAGCTTAGCTGTTTGTTTAGCTTTATGGCTATATACCTCAGAAACGCGTTAGGAAAAAACTTTGAACGTGATTGTTATTTTGCCATTGTCGGTCACAATCCTACTGCGTTTGTAATATACAGTCACCACTTCAATCATTTTTATGTACAAATATTGTAATGCGTATGTTTGGTGTCTCTCTACGTATAAGTGGTCGATATAAGATTGTGGATGACCATATCATCGATTTATCTTTATTTACCTGTGCAATTGTTGTAACTTTCAAGGTTTTAAGTGTAGCTACGGTAATGAAATAAAACGTACTGTATGCTTTCTGAAAGCGATAAGTGTGATGTTACTCCCCTCATAGTATTGATAGGCTCGTGAAAAATCTACGTTCTAAGTATTTGGATGGCTTAGTAAATCGGATTTTTCTGCTTCGATGGGATTATTACGGTAGCTGCCAGAAATAATGTGTATACAACTTTTTTTTATTTTGTGTCTAGTTCCATAGTCGAGAAGTACGATTTGTTGTGCCCTGAGTCAGAGGTGATATCAATAGCACGCGTGCCTTTTGTCGGCCAATGGCCAACCCGCACTACCTGTCCGTTGTCGACAGGGCAAAAATCCAATAACCAATGTTTACAGATTTTATATTTAATAATCTCTTTCATCTCCGTTTTCTACGATGAGAATGTTTCCATATGTGCATTGAATCCGGTAAAAGTCATTTTGAAACCGAGTGCTTTATTGGGACAGTTGAGGCGAATGTAACTAGCGCAGAGCCAAATTCTATCTACATTTCTTTTCTGCCTGTAATGCGTTCGATTATGCAACGTAATAAGGAGCACCTTTGTGTAGCCCACATTGTTTAATATTTGTCACTGCAGAATTATATGCCCCACCAAATGGAGCCAATAATTATTTGAAGTCTATGGCGAACACTCCTACAACGTTATTTAACGTATATTGCCGTTCCTTTATAGTTATTGAATTGATACGTCGAAGGCTAAACGCATTCGTCTCTAAATCAACAAATTCGAAAAGCATTTCTAAATTATCCTTTTAGTGCATATTGATGTTTGTACATTTTACAGGGGTCGTTCGAAGGAATGACGCGTGGTGCCACCATTACCAAATGTCATTGATCAAAATCATCAAGACTGTATATATAAACTTGACGAGTTTTTCCAATATAAATTACAAGGTCAAGAATAGTTCATTTGTCAATGTCACCTGGTCATAAGATTATTCGAGGTTCCTCTAAGACTTCTCCCTTTTATCCACGCGTTTTTACGTCAAATGGATTCAACCACTTTTTTCGCTTTCAACAAAACCCATACTTCGGCCATTAGACCTGCGGAACAGCTGATGCACTTCAAGATTCAGCTTATCTTTACGAGCTATTTAAACAAAATCAAATACCTAAAGAACGAGATTTAAATAGCAAAGGTGAAATTTGGATTGAAAGGCAATGAACACGTGAACTTGTCTACTTACGTAGTCCCACTTTTTTTGCCATCTGCAAAACAGAAAGAGAACCGTTTTGTGCTATAAGTTCAGCGAAACTACAACTTCTACTAAGTGGAAATATTTTCCAGTACAGAGATTGACTAATTCATTTGAATCAAAGAAATGTAAATAAGAAGCCTCAGTTTCTCATTTGCGGGCCTGTGAACTTATCGAATTATTAGAGCAGTGCATATAAGAGTTCGATGAATACTTGATTACCCTTTATTGCGCTTGCATTGCTATGCTTCCGTTTCCTCGCTAGTATCAATGGCTTTGTATGTTTGGAATTCGCTTTCATCCTAATAACGTCCAGCCTATCTAGTCTAAGCCAGCGTGTTATATAATACGATTTCTAAAAAGTGAACCTCAGATTCATTGACCGTGCCCTATTGTGCATTCAATGTGTACTTGTATTATTATAAACACCAATACTATCTAAATTTCTATTAGCCTCTGCTGTTCTAATACGATGGTACGGTCTTCATATGAGCGTGATTGTGATTACAAAATATCTTGATTCGTTTTACACGAAACTATTAGGCTATTAGGTCGACTATTAGGCTACACGAAAATACGTGTAGCCTAATAGTCGACCTATGCCAGATGACCCAGTAGGCTTCTAGCATTTTTTTGGTAACTTTCTGGTGGCAGCGCCCACTTTATGCTTTCTGTCACCGCTGGCAGAAGTAATAATTCAGAAGATAAGAGGGGCGATCTTTCGTTGCATACATCCGCGATATAGCTACCAGCTTAGTGTAATTCTGAGTATCGCCGATCCACTCCTGGTAGTCTTTGAAGTCAAGCCAAAAATTGAGCGCAACGTGATTCAGAAGATTCGACAAATGTGGTAACAGCTGAGAATCAGCTCTCAGTTTATGTAATACATTGTATCTTATTTTGAGAAAATTCATTTGTGAGACAATTTCTAAATGATTATACGAAACAATAAGAAGTGAGAAAGCACTTTTGCATCACTACAGAGTGATGAGAAAATTGCGGGATATTTAAAAATTTCTAGACTTTATTTGCTGTCAACACATTCGTAGATGTGTTCATAGAGAAAAAATGTTTTTCAACCGATGACTTTCTAATCATCCAGAGTAGTAGATTTATGGTTAAAGCAAGGATAAGTGCGTTAGCATTAAGCTGCATTCATCTGCGAACAAAATGTTTCTGGTAAATTCGTAGGAAAATTAAAAAGCCTTCAATAGATATTATTACTGAATCTTCATGCTACATTATTAGTAGGTTATATTCTTATAACTATATTTCTGTGATTAATTTTTTTCTTGCCCTGATTATCCTTGAGAAGTGTTACTTCGTTGGGAAAGAAACCATTTTTCCATAAAGCAGCAATCAGAATCATAGATATTTTGCAATCTTTAATCAAAAAAATAATACCGATAATCCAAACCACAAATCTATACGTAAAAAGATATAGCCAGTTTTAAAATAAATATTATCGCCACTAGCAAGAACTCCGTCCCCAATTAAACCAATTGTGCTTTGTCACTTTTTTCTTGTGTACGCAGTAATTATTAAGTTTTCAAATCTAGAATCCTCTACAACGGATCCACAATCTAAGTTCTACTTTGGGCCATAACTATTTGACTTTTTCGACTTCCGATAGCAGCCGGCGACGAATTTCAATGTGTGGCAATTTCGACCGCAGATGAACAGATACGGCCAGTTTACGGTACTCGTAAGAACGACAACGATGAATAAAATCGCAGTTCGCTCGCTCATTCGCTGTCCCGTGTTCGTGTAGCAGCAGTGATTCATAACATTGCTTCACCATGCCAGTACTGCTTAATCGGCCGCAATCTTGCCGCGGCACACACTTCGCCGACTTTAGCTGCAGCTAAGAGTTGACTTGCTTATTTGCGGCGCCAGCGAGTGGCCATGACAACCACTAGAACACGATACCACTGTCCGTCAGTCAATGGTTCGTACTAGTATGACATATTGTTGACGGTAGCGCGTGACGTTTGTCATTGTAGTTGCGAGTCAGTAGCCCGGACACTTTCAGTTGCGTTTCACTAGTGTTTAATGCCCACATTTCGCGCTGTACTAGGATCCGAAACGGAGACTGGTTCTCTGACATCGCTGTTATTTGGTGAGATTACAACGTGCTTGCTTATAAAGTCCACTGGATCAGTAAGGCCAGTGTTTAGTGACGTTCCAACAACGCTGAGAATCAAAACACATTGACAGAGATGGAGAAGCATCAGGTGGTTCCCGATGTCATCGATCAAGTACCATGCAACGTTCTTAAGGTCTGTAAAAGTACTAGATAAATGTTGCTCATGGCTCAAACAAGTGACAGGGATAACAGCGGTAAGTAGAGGAACTGGCATGCCTTGCTTATTCCCTTGACTTGGCTTTCGGAAGATCTCAAAGCTAATGTCTATGCCAGAAAGCCGACGACATTGGAAAAATTAAAAGTCACAGCTAAGTAAAAATATCTCACGATACCAAACGAAATGTTTGGTAAAATTGGTGAATTAATAACCCAATGTTATTAGAATGGTGATAACTTGGACTATCTTCGATAAAAAGAAAAACTACATTATACTTAGATTCTTTTGCATCTTAAGTATTTTTTTTTAATTATGCGCTAATAAAACGAAATTGTAATTATCCACTTTGCTGAATCAGTCATGCAAAGACTCTTGCGCGTATATTTAATGCTAAGTATTTGAGAATTATATATCATCACTAAATATAGGGTAACCTGAACGCAAAGTGGATCTGTCAACATACGTAATCATACATATAAGAGAGATTTTTAATTTCAGGTAGAATATCCCAATGGTTTCCAGTGCGCGTTGGGAAACATTTTGACTCCGACGCAAGTGAGGGACCAACCAAAGGTGAGCTGGACGGCTGAACCTGGAGCACTTTATACACTGGTCATGGCTGACCTTGATGCGCCTTGCCGAGAGGAGCCGACTTTGAAAGAAGTGAAGCATTGGGTCGTGGGTAACATCGAAAATGGACAACTGGACAGGGGAGAGACGCTTGTGGGTTATCGAGGTTCGAGGCCACCAAAAAACAGCGGTAAGAATTGTTTTGAATCAAACGGCCGCAATCAAATATCTTTAGCAAACCTTTAAGTCAGCTCAGAAAAGCACTATTTTAATTTGATAGTTGAGAATATTAGATGAACATTTACTATAATAGAGAAGCACTTATTATTTAAAGCTGAACATAACGATGAGTTTATAAGCAAAATAACATATCGACTTTCGTTACTACCCAGGTCTTCACCGCTACGTATTCTTGTTATATAAGCAAGCTGGGCGAATTACGTTTGGTGAAACACCAATACCAAGTAACTCACGGGAAGGAAGGTTCAAATGGAAGGTAGATGTTTTACGTAACTCTAAGTACTACGACACTAATAAAATAAAAGTAATTTATGAGAAAACAAATGAAGGTACTCGTGAACCCTTCTAAAAGTTTCTAATTTTTTCGATAAGTTTGCTGTTAGAACGTTTCCCTATCGTGGAAAAACTGCTTTAAACTAACGTGGCTCCATAAAAGGGTCCAAATAAAAAAAACGCTTGCTATCTGTTCGATCTATTCAATTACTGTCTGGTCATCAAAGAAAGGACTTAACCGTTAGCGAATTTACATTCGGATAGCCCGTCCGTATAATGAAACACAACGCGACCTTTTTCTACTAGTTAACAAACACTTTTGTTATCATCTGTGACGTTATATATTCTTTCCTATGGTAAATGCTAAGTATAATCAATCAGGTATACAGTTGTCAACGTTAATATTTTTCAGGTACGCGATTTCGCCCGAAAGCATTGCCTAGGGGAGCCTGTTGCTGGGAACTTTTACCAGGCTGAATGGGAACCCTACGTCGACGAGTGGAAGGCCACCGAAGGACTTTAACATAAATAGGCTCAATCTACTCGACATATGTCGAGTAAATTGTATAAATGTCGAGAAAGTAACGCAATAGAAAACCTGTCGTTCGGTTGCTCTCAAAAGAACGTGACTGCTTTGTAAATTGAATTGTTGACGTCTACTGCATCCCCGATTTCACACAAAGTCAAGTGAATGCAAGCTGGATTAACTCAAACACCATAAGGGTTACCTACCTGTCAGATATCTATATCATAAAGAACTGTCGAAATGTTAAAAAAACTATAAATATATATTTGAGATGTTATTTTTTTATTGAAAGTCACGACAAATATATCAATCTTGTATCCTGCTCCTACTGTTTGGTACCTCTTTTATTTAGATTTAATTAGAGTTCTATCTTTTACGGGTTCCATTATCGTTCTTTGTTTGCTCTCGTTGGAGTCTATAGACCATTCTAGTAAGACATTGTCTGTGCAATTACCACCACTATCATAGACTGAAGTAATTAATGAAGCGGCAGTAGTACACAGAGAGCGCTTTCCTCCGTAAATTGTACTACCGGCTTCCAGGAGTATTCGTGCGCTTAGTATTACCAATTAGCACCTCTCTTTACTTGCTTGCTAAATCTTAGTTTATCGGCAGACTTGGTAACATGCAGAGATCCGGCTAAAACTAGTACTAGTACTAGTAGTAGTAACATGCAACAGCCAGTCCAACAGCGTCCCTTAGCAAGCTCATATCAACAGTCACGTAGCATTGTTTTGCCACTGGTTCGCTCATCGATGCAGTGTTCCCGCGAAGTAGTTCCGCCTGTTACTCGCAGGCTACGTTCCAACGATTATTCTACTGGCGTTATTGATCGACGGTGGTTGTTTCATAGAAGCATGTAAAGGCTCAAAACTGGCCGACTCTTCGAATAGAGTAAAGTATGGGGTGAGGAGCGGAGAAGCAGAGAAACATTAGTGCTCGTTCCCTAAGATATCACTGCACGGAAATCATTGTCCTCTTTGTTATTACAGCCTTCGCGGATTAGTCGATAGTTTATAGCATCTACTGTAGCAGGCTTGTTGCCTCATTCAACTTTGCCTATCCCTAAAAGTTATGAAATTAAACCCACGAGCCCTTTGTGTTAGCTGACTGGGGTAACCCCTGAATATGGTCACATCGAGAGTGGGCCATTGTTACATGTAAACTGTTAACTCGAGTTCTGTACGCGAGGAAATCGAACGCATTTCATTGCCTTTTGTTTCTGGCTAGCAAAGAATTTTTCTAGTGACACTCCCGTGTACGGCTGCGCGCATCTTCCATAATTATCGAATAATAATAACTCACCGTAATTATCGATTTCTTATGGATAGCAGATGTTGGCGAGCGATAATTATTATTCGAGGGAGCTGATATGACCGTCTCATCCAGTTGGCATCCATTGTCTGAATCAGCGAAAATTAACTAAACCGCTTCCAAGATTCGCTCATGTCACCTTAATAGAGTGCAGTGAACTCGTTTATGAAAAAAAAAAAGCTTTGAGAAATGACCTGGGTAATCTGATGGGGAAGTATTCGCTTGTGAAAGGAAAGCAGTTTCGAATTACGAAAAATAGGACAAAAAGGGACGATGTTTAAAAAAAAGAAACTTACAATACTCATATGTCTGCCCTCAAATAAAGTGGCTGCTATTTCTCTCCAAAAAAGAGAATGTATACGGTTGTTGGTAAAGAGGCATCCATCCAGCGAACGGTACGTTCAAATAAACGTTACGTTTTTCAAAAAAAATTAAAAACAAATTCATGTGAGCAACAATTCTAAAAAGGAATAAATACGCCTCGCTACTCGTATTGATTATATCGTCGTTTTTGCATTCTTAACTATTTGTAATAAAAGAAACCTCGTTTTCTATGAAATAAATAAAAATCTACTCAAAATTTACTGAACATATAAACGCGAAAGTAATAAGTTTTTCCATCGTATGGATACATACGAATAATATGATGGTTTATCAAAAATAGAATGAACTTCCAAAGTTTTTTTACTGTGAACATCAGCATCACACAAATATTTCGAGAGTCTTTATTACCTGATTAAGAGAACATTTTAACATTAACGACGACGCGTATTTTCTGGGAAAATCTACCGTCAAAAACGTAATGAACGAACTATCACTACTCTATAATAGCGAGAATAGGAATTTATAACAGATGTAGAATTTCATAATAATGGAGAAGTACTTACAGGCAAACTGTTAGAGGCTCTACTAGGTAAGTTAATAAATTTCGAGTTACAATAAAAATGCTTTGCGAGCCTGGATGCAGCACTAATAACTTGAGTTGTTAAAATATAGTGCATTATTGAAAGTGCTTAAAAACAGCAGCTAATTTTTTTTGTTAGCTTACGAAAAAGGGCACCTCTTTTAACATTAAACAAAAAATAACATAATCATTTGGAAAATGTCGTTTCATGTTGTTTTAAAAATGTCTTAGTCATCTAGCACAAAACTTGCTTTTTCTTTCTCAAAATATATATCTATATATATATATATATATATATATATGTATATATATTAAATCAAGAAAAACAGCTATTCGAGTGTTCCACTGCAAGACAGTATATTTTTTTCCTCTAGATGACATTTCAACGTTCACAACACTCTTTCTGTCCTCTCGGAACAATCATAACAATCTTTTCCTTCAATCACTTCTCTTAACGGCTTCCCGTCAAAACATTTGACCGTCCGGTTCATAATATTTTCACCCCTGTATGTCCTATATTATTCTGTTACATGTATTACCTCAATCTCTAGCTGTTGCAGAATAACGCACACAGTATTCATATATGAGCTCCTGAGTAATCTGCTTAGCGTACCATGACAATGTATGATAATGTATATTTATATACACACGACTCTGAGTTACCTATAGGAATTTGATGTGTTACTGTCGTGCCCAGAGGCCATACTCGCTACCTTTAATTAATCATTTTGCTGCTGCACTCGCCGGTTTAAGGAATAAATCCCGGAAGTCGGAATTGCTCCGCGGTTTGATCGCAGATGTTGTGGCGGAAAGCTGCGCTGTTAAAGGCTTCACTTGTAGGGCTCTCGGTACGAAAAGGCGGTTTTTCATTGTTGAACCTTTTGGCACAGGGGTGGGTACCGTCGCCTTGTCCGTGGCGGGCTGCCTTGATGGAGGATTGCTAATAGCTACAGAGAGTGTTTTATCTCGCAATTGGTAACCATCGTATTTTACGACAGCGGCAGACGCTGCTGTATCATCGATATAGTCGACATAGGCCATACCTTTGAATTTGCCATTCCGTAAGGTGCACAATCGTATCTCTGTTACCGAACCACAGGTTTCAAAGAGGCTTTGTAGCTCTTCTTTTTTTGCATCAAACGGGATATTTTTCACGAATAGCTTGTTTTTTTCCAATTCTGTTGCGTAGGCGAACTGTTTTCGTTCATTTAGCTTTGACACAAACACAGGCCGTCCGTCAACTAAGCCTCTATCCTTCTTCAATGCCTCTGCAATACTATGTATGTTCTTAAATACGAGATAGCCAAAGCCCTTGCACCGCTTTTTATAGTCTCGAACGAGCCGAAGTTCTTCGATTTCACCAACACTTCTAAAGAACTCCAGAATACTCTGTTCTTTGACTTCGTAAGCCAAATTGCTAAGAAAGACCGTTTGCGCATCCTTGAGTGGGTCCGGCTCTGCTGGTCCTACCCCGTGTTGTCTTTGTTCGTTTTCCGGCGTCGACTTTGTTGCAAGGCTAGCGACAGGTAGTGGCACCTTGAACCCCTCATCATCAAAGTTCTCCCATTTAGCCTTTTTTTTGTCGTCAGTGGGTGACAAACCCTTTTGAGCTCTGCGCTTTTTGTCTCGCTTCATAGATGTGGATGCAGTTTCACTTTCATGATGATCATTTTTGGCCTGTGACCCTTTGAGTACTTCTTTTGCTGCACATCGCTGCCGTTTTTCGTTTACCACTTTCATCCGACCGTCGTATTTAGCTTGCGCCTCTAAGAGACCGTCAAGAGATCCTTCCTCTAGCTCAAATTGAATCCACAGTTCCCCAAGAGCCTCTGGCCAATCGGTGACAGCGTACATGCCACGTTGTAGAACTTTGCGATAGTGCTTCTCATCACCGAACGTCCTTTCAAATGTGGCATAGCTTAGCCACGTCTGTGCATCACTGGCAGCTCCCTGTCGTGTCACTTGATTCCATAATTCTCGAGCTTGAGATAAATTACCCAACTTAGCTTCTATTTTCGCCCAGTACTGAACGATGGTTGACGAACAATCTTCCTCGGTGAATTGCGACAAGTGCTCTTGGGCTTTTTCAAAGCAATTACGTAATTTAGCAAGGACATCTTCTTCAGGCCGTTTCATATCGATCTGCCTTCGAAGAGAAGAAATATGGAACATCCAGATAGCTAAATAGTCTGAGCCACTCGAAAACCCCACCTGAAATGCTTCATCAACAACTGACTGGATTTTCGACGGTATAAATTGTAGTCTCTCGAGACACGTCAAATATGAAACCCATAAAGCTGATGCCCAGGGACAATTTCGAACACTTCGCTCATGAACTGGAAGAGAAAGGGAGTCAATTTTCAGCGAATAGTCTAAATACTTTAAGTATTTGTCCCAAAGAGCTGAATTAAGACAATCATCAAGAATAGCTCTTTCAAACAACATCTGTATTCTCGCGGCGTCCCCGCCTTTTAATTCGAAGTCGAGGTACGGCTCATAATGCACAGTCTTTGGCTCCACTTTCATAAGCTCCTCTTCAAAAGGAAGAATGGTCTCCAACTTTTTTAGAGCTTTGTTGTAAAGAAGCATAACACTTTCGTCGGGTTGACTTCCAAGAAATTCCCTAAACTCCGCCAGCGTCTTTTCCATATCCAACAAAGGCACTGACAGCTGTCTACTAAAGAGGGACTGTATCTTGCGTTTTTGCACCGCAATTTCCTCAGCCTTCTTTGCATCCGGCTCGCTAACAGCCATTGTCGCATATATGGCCAATTCAAACTCCCTATACGCCTCAAAGATAAACGCTCCTTTAGTGACATGTAAGCCAACCTTATTGCAAGCGTCCTCGAAGACAGATCGAACCCTTTCAATACCACCTGGACTGCCCATTAACCCAATGCAAAATTGACAGTACTCTAACCAAAGTTCAACCGACGTGTAGTCCTTTACAGCGCGTTGGAACAGGTCCAAAATGTTTGTCTTCTCGTCATCATCAAGACAGAGATTTATTTCTGATCGAATCCATTCCAGCCACAATTTCGGTGTAAGTGGAAATAATTTTGCCATTGCTTCCCGAGATGCCCTCAATTTATCGAGATCGTCTCCCTCGCGAAGTAGCGCAATGAGCTGCAAGTGTGAATCATAATGGAATGGATCGTCGGCAAGTGTTCGTTCGAGTCGTAAAATCTGCTCTGCATTAAGCTCGTCATTATCGTCGGGCGACGAGTGGCTGCCCAACGAGCCATCATCATGATCACCTTGTTCCATACGTTCCTCAGTGTTGTCTGGGCCAATGTCCATAATCAGCTCTTCTGAAATTAGGACAACAAATATCCAGTTAACAAACTGTACAGCTTATGGCACCGGCGACGTCCCAGAATGCGTGAGGTAGACATCGACATAGTACGAATCAAACATCGGATCAACTCACTGATAGTATAGACTATCTTAGGGAGTGAAATATGGCTGAGTGAGGTAACAGGAAGTGCATACCCATCCAATCTTTGTTAATTTTTTCTTATACCACCCATTTTTGATCGTTAAATACGTAGATCGCCTTATTGCCATCTAGTCCAAAATAATGTTAGACAATTTATCACAGTTTTTTAAAGACTTAAATCGTCGTAGGGGTTTCAAGTCTTATGGGATTCAAGCAGAAGGCAGTGATTATTTTTAAACAATGGAAATCTTCAAAACTGTGTATTGTTCGAGTGCTGTCTGCCCGTATCGTTATATATAATTATAGCATCATATAAAAATGCTAATCATAACTAATAAGCGTATAGCAATCCAAAGCGCCGCCTGGCCCATTGTTTATTTTTTCTGATTTTGGTAATCATGTCTCACATTGTTCCTAGTGTTAGTTAGGTCGACCGTGAGCCCCTCCATCTACGTTGAGAAGTCAATTTATCTGTATCAACTAAATGTGTTTTAAGATTAGAAGAGAATTTCAATATAATAAGGTTCTATAAAACGTTTTTATAGCAAAAGAACTTCGGTCCATTTGACTATGTGTTATTGTAGAAGAATCTGTCAAATTGATGTCTGAATGGCTTCTTGTCAAGTAAACTAGGAATTATATTTGGACAAATTAATTTTCATGCTATTTTATCTAGCACAGTAAGATAACAATAATTATACATGAATTTGTCAAAGTTAAACATTAGGGGAATAGATACATGTTCGATGAACTTAGCTAACTCTTTCTCACTTATTTTACATTTGAAACTATCACTCATTATCTAAGCAGGATTCCAGTGCACTCCTTAGTTTGCAGGTAAAGCAGCACGGCTATGTATTTATCGCCAGTCTTCTGCCTCTATATATTCCGCATTCTCAGTTCGTGGTTCGAACGGACTCACTTGGGCTTTTTTTATTTCCGAGAAAATACCAGTCGCGAGTTTAGAGATGCATACACCGCAATCAAAATGATTACGCTTTTGCCCGGCTTTATGTCTGCCTGGGTCGACCTGCACGTAACCATGTTGGGTTGGATGCATCCTGCGTGAATCCACCAGCACACGGGCTGCCAGAGACACTGCAATTGACAAAAAAGGCCGAATCTCGTCTGTGCCGCTGAAAAAATTATCCCTTGATCAACAAGCCTAGTTTGTGCGTACACTAGAATCTAGAAGTTATCATTGTGTCTTTCTGGTTAAGTAAAAATAGCGAAAATGCGAAGTCGAACCACAACAGCAGAGGATTCTTCGCATTGTTTACAAATATTTCTAGTCCTTTTTTTGCTCTTAAAGATTCGCGCGCAGACGATTTTCGAACTAGTGTTGTAATTGAAAATTCCATACATTTGTTTCGCTATGTTCGTTTAAAACTTACATGCAATTTAACGAACATAATCTAGTTTCATGATGACGTTGTGACAAACATATATCATGTGATCGAATTGGATGGTGACGAAATTGAAGAGTGCCCCTCAAACGTTTAATGTTCAGAGAGAATGTTAAAGATATTTCGCAGAGCTTTTCCCAGGCCATTACGCCAAACTGGCATGCGCTTCCTTTCGGAAGGTATTAAAAACGGGACAACAGTAATAATAAATAACTAGCCCTTTGCTATGTTAGTTCTAAATCAAATCACTCGGTAGCTGCAAAGTGTACTCAAGCTTAAGTGTGTGGTAATAAGTGCAATTTAAAATTAATCGAACTGGCAGATGATAGCCCGTCATTATTGATTTCGTTAAGTTCGCGCACACACGTGAACGCCGCTGTGTATCGTAGATGAGGTGACCGTGGGCATACTCGTAGAACTAAAATCGTAAGCAACTCCTTGTCTTGTATTGGGGCACAAAGCGATGCAGACATATATAGACAAAAAAATCCGTCTAAAATTAAAATGTCATAAGACATACTGCGATTATACTCTTTCATACCGCTATCTCGGACTCAACTAGATATAGAGATAAAGTAAATTGAATAATATATAATGTTTGGATGTCTGTGCAGTTGCATCCTGTGTTATTTTACAGTGCACAGAACAATTAGTTGAGCAGAAAGTTGATACTCGCATCAAATAGTACATTCAGGTTATATTTAAACAGTAAATTTTGGCATTACTATGGACGCTTTTGGCTCGAACAAAAAACATTTTTCTCTGGGCTGATCAGTCGCCTTTCGCGCGCTTTCAGAAAACATAATCTTCAATAATAACGAATTGTTAAGTGTCGACCACTGCTATGGAAGAAGCTTGATTTTAACCTACACAATTAAAACAGTTTGAAGTCGAGAGCGTAGAAAAGTACTAATGACTATTACTTTATCTTTTTTTGTCTTCGAAGAACACTTGTCAACAAATCGAGCTGGTTAACCAACTTCAACCGATGATCGAATTGCGAGAAAAATTATCGTGTCTTTTGTTTGTGACCAGTTACTTTGTGAATCTTCATTTTGTGATTTTTTTTCGTTGTGATATTTCCACCTTAATCTTTTTCGGATCGTGTTCTTTCTTACGCAAATTTTTTAACTTTATAAAGAGCATTTATTCGAAACTGAACATTTTACACAGACACTATTTCGGCTTGATCCTCATGATGCTCAACGATTGTGCAGAGAAATGGTGTTTTGTCGCTGTCAATACTGCAAAAAATTTAGCTTGTCGATTATTGTGTGGGCTTCAGTGTTTTTTGCATGCCTTCAATCTACAAGAGCTGTAGCTCTAAGCAGTAGTACTTCATGGTTAATAATCATAATTTCACTAATTGACATGGCTATTTCGCGTAAGAGACAACGATTTGGTGCGAGTATTTATGGAAATGTTTGACATGCAACATGTGCATATTTGTAAAGGTTGTTCGGGCTAGCAAGAAGTTCACATAGAAAATGCTCGTTATAGTATGATAAATTTACAGAAAACGGAGTGGATAAGTTACCCGCTTAACTACTTTACTCTTATAATTATTATAGTACTCGTACTACTAAGAATTATAGTACTCTTCAATACAGCTTAGACGATTTGTGGTTGCTCTCGCAATAGGATCAATGATACGTATGCTTGTTTGCATTTATAT